TTCCATGAGAGACAATAATACTATCAGTTTATTCCTAACTGGGATGTATTGTTGTACTACAAAATATCATCATAGTAAGTCAAGTCGATTGAACAACGTTGATAGTAACTTACATACAATGCCTCCTACTAATCACTCGAAAAGTTGTGTCATGAAACACTTGGCTCTTTTAATCAAGCGAATATTTCGTGTTTTATATTCTAAACCAACATGGATTCTGTTTACAGTGTTTTCTTCTTAAGTTCAGACTTTTATATTCATTTGGAAATTCTAAAAATAGCTATTGTATCTAATATGACACTAAGTAATACGACTTACGAGGTAAGATTCCCTGGTGTGTCTCTGGGATTTTAACGAAATCTATATGGGTTTATTAAGTCAAGTATTAGTATTTCAAATATTGAAGAATTAGCTGGTGAGACTAATCCGTTAAAAAAATTTGGAGTCAAAATATTTNTTTGGAGTCAAAATATTTTTTGCCTAGGACCTTGAGGTGGACGACAGGTGAGTTTTTTTCACGAAAAATTAAGTTCGCTAAAATTATCTCAAATATTGATAGGTCGACTCAGCGTTTAGTGCTGATTTCAAATATGTTATTAGTTTTACCACATATTGTATTTTTCTAACCGAAATCTACTAGTAGTAGTCAAGATGGTACGAATTCACATCTACAGAATAGTCTGCTAGATAGCTTTTCAGCAATGAAGATTTTTGAATTTTGAAAATTTTCCGAATATATAGGTTTTTGAAAGCGCTGTCAATTGATATATGATGATTTATATAAACTGACTGAACTATGTAGTTCTCTATTGTTTGATTAGATAGCTAGCTGAACAGAATTTTCAGCTGTAATAAAATATGGTTGATACTCAAATGGCTATTTATCTAAAAGATTCTGGTCATTTTAATAATGTATGCTTTTATTTTGATGAAGATTTCTGTGTTCTATTCATGTAAAGCGACTTTTCTTTTCTTTGCTATCATCATTGCGATCGTATTGTTTGTTTCAATCATACTTTTCGTCATTAATCATAAACATTCGTAAAATACCCTTTTGCTCATTGCTAGATAAGCAATTATTTCTTCATATTCATTTAAACGAAAAGCCATGTGTTTCTTTTAAATCGGTTATTTCATTCCACATGTAAACACTTAGCCTACTATTAAGCAGTTTTCATACAGCAAAAGACAACATTGTAGTAAGAACTGTATGGACATGCGCAAATATCAAGTAGTCAAGTGATACCTTCTTTCTTGTCAATTATTTAGGGCTGAAAAAGATAGCATCAAGCAATATTTAGGGTTATTCGTTCTCGTTTAAAAGGTATGGAACTTAAAGCAGAATGCTTGGTATTATAAGTTTATAAGATCCATCGTACTTGACATGAAATCAATACTTTCACTGCTGAAGTAATAAAAGATGAGTGCCCAAAGAACCGAATAAATTTCTACTTGACTTGTAGATATACATGCATGCTTTGATACAGAATTTTTCGCTGTGTCACTTGGAAGTAGTGTCAAATCGTTTTGATAGAATGTAGGATAGTAATGACTGGACATACTACCTTGTGGTTATCATCTTCAAGACCGTGAGATATCTTGCTGATATCTTTTTACAATGATAGCACTCTTATTTTGGAGTGATATCATCCGATAGAACATTTTCTTCTACATCGATTTGCTTGAGAACAAGTCTTTTGAAAAAAAATGATTAGTATATTTATTCGTCATTTCACTAATGGAGAGTGATAGGTCAACTGAAAACGGCTCTGGCAGACGTCTAATAAAACAACAGAGAACTACATGGTTCAGTCAGTTTATATAAATCATCATATATTAATCGATAGCGCTTTCAAAAAGCTATATATTCGGATAATTTTCAAAATTCGAAAATATTAATTGTTGAAAAGCTATCTAGCAGACTATTCTGTAGATGTGAATTCGTACCATCTTGCCTACTATTAATGGATATCGGTTAGAAAAATACAATATGTGATAAAACTGATAACATATTTGGAATCAGAACTAAAACCTCAGTCGTCCTATCAATGTTTCAGATAATTTAGCGAACTTAATTTTTCGTGAAAAGAACTCACCTGTGGTCCACCTCAAGGTCCTAGGCAAAAAATATGTTGACTTTTGTAGAGAATTCTACCTTGAATCTTAAAAAAAAGTCAAAGTTCCATGTTTTGCGTGTGTCGAGTTGTATGCAACATGAACTATGTTGCAAGCATTTTGACACATCTGATATTTTTTAGTAATGATTCTTGTTCAAGGCTTTTTCACAGAACACATGAGAGTGATGCTGTATATTGTTTCAAAATCTAGGCAAATTTGGACAGAATCTAATATAATTCGCAATCATTTTCAGCCACATAATATATTCTTTTTAAAACTTCTAACTACAAGAAGCCATTTTACAATCACGAATAGACAACAATGAAATTCTAGTTTCTAACTAACATGGATACTAAATATTCTGTGACTTGACCATTAAAAGTTTTCAGTAGTCTCGCTGATTCAACGAGATCTTCATAATAATATATCATTTTGTTCTATCTGAATTGGTTCTTACGTTCAGCAACTTCTTTTTTTTGATTTTGAATATTGCTTATTATATCACGATAAAAGTATTATTTTGTGTTACGCCACGATACTACATAGATTTTGAAAAAATATCTTAATTGAATATACTTCAAATTGATAAAATAAAGTCATCGTCATCGATGAAAGCTCTAATGTCTTCTATTGACCAAGAGTTTGAGTAAAGCGTTACGAAAGGTACTTCCCCCAGTCAGTGTATAAATATAGAACGGCATTCCATTCGCTATGAAATGAAGTAATTGACCAATATTAAAGACCAAATTGTTAATAGCAACTTGTAATACAGATGCTGGTTTATCAGCCATTATTGTTGCGAATAACCTCTGAAAGCATAATGGGATGGATAATACGAAAAGAACAAGAGTTTGCACGAGAAGCATAACTAATAGATTATGATCTTGTTTGGCCAATCGGCGTTGTTGATTCCTGTTGATTTTCACCGCGTTTGTTATCATTGATGAATCTTTAGGAGCAACTCGACTTCTTGATTGACGAATATTGTAGATGGTCATCACACCAAAAACTAACATGCAAGGCAAAGGAAAAATAACAAATGCCATAAATAATAAATCCGTCGCGAATTGACATGCTATTGTTATACCATAGCATTTTTGTGGAGCATTAATACGATTTGGTTCCTGGCAATAGATAACATGCGAAAAAACTATAGCAGACACAATGAGACTAATAAGCATAGCTCGATAAGCATTTTTCAATGAGCTCATCTGGCGATACTCTGCTTTAGGACTTGATGATAACCATCGATCAATCATAGCAAAAAGTATATATAAAACCGTTTCTGATTTTGAAATATTGACAATAAAAGCACGAAGCTTGCAAATACCTCGATTTGTTGCTGTTAGATCTGCTCCCCAGCCAGACAACATTCTGGAACTAAGACCAGAAAGCATGGCAACAAAATTCACCAGTGATGAGAATAGAAAAAGTACGGCACATGGATTTTTACGAAGTGATGATTGCGACAAAACCAAAACATTGAGAATATTTCCAATCGAACCGAAAAGAAAGATACAAATTGAAACGTACCGATTGAGTTGAACAATGACATTATTTATTATTGCGGCCATATATACATCAGACATTGAAGACATTGTTGAGTTTAATTGATTCATGATAAATTTAATCTAAAAACGATAGATACGAAATTTGTCACAATTGTCGTTCAAATTTTTGTTTCATATAGAACACTAATAGATCAATGAGAGGTAGAATGGATTGTTCCATGATTATTCACTTTTGAATGAAAAGTAATATTTGTTATGGGTGCATACATTTACTGATAATGTATCATTTGATCCTTAACGATACTAGAATCTGGAATTCCATTAACAGCAATCAGTAACTGACCTTTTCTGCACTATTCTCCAACGATCTGTTTCACTCATTCGATAATAGAGAAGCATTTTCTACAGCATATGTTTTGAAACTAGTATCATTGATCGTGTGTATTAGAGAGGACAAATATCATCGCATCGTTGTGTGGTATGTGAAGATATGATTTTTATAACTAGTTGAACAGATTATCCATACCTCCTCAATCGAATTCTAGATGTTTCTGTCTCTGTTAAGTGCCAAGTTGTTCTAGAGGTATCATCACGGTGCAAACTTACGACTTCGAGGAACGTACCAAGTTATTATTCATAACACTTGTTTGAAAGTTCAAACATGTATCGATATGAAAAAGAAGCGCCATTTGATAGAACTAATTTTTTTAGAAACCCATTCGTAATTGCTTCGAAACTATCTTTGATGCATGTCATTGCTTATCGTATGATCATGAAATCTAAGTATTAACGAAAATCGTCTGACCCTACGGGAAATTTAAGATAAAGACAAACATTGAATTTTAGGTTCATTTATTCATCTAATGATATAGTTCAGCAAGGATGTCATTATTGGTTTAATAGTACAAAGTCGAAAAGTAATGCTACACATTTCAACACAATCTTGAACATAACATTTTAAAATTGAGACAAATCTAATAGATTTCATGCAATGAACTCATGACCCACGTTGGTTTTTTTCATAAAAGAATTTTTCATGAATTGATAGACGTTGGCGATAAATGGACCACTCACTTTTACATACTGGTTGAGTGAAAAGTAAAAATATAATCCTTTCTATGCATTGCCAATAAGATCTGATATCTATAACACATAGTCTTATACAGTAGTGCTTAAATACAAAGCCTAGGATAATTTTTTAGCTATAATAAATGTTGAAGTTCATATGACTCTTTCTTGTTTCACTGACTTATGTGTAGATACGAATAGCTACGTAGTAGTGTCAAGCTTGAAGATTGAGTTCAATTATTGAAGATCCTTTTATACATGTATATTCAGTTATTCCGTTAGAGATACCGTGCATAGTTTAATATCTGAATATCTGAGCTCATTATTTAAATCGTTAAATGTCATAATTTCAGGGTTTCAGCCGTAAGATATTCAATAGTTGAATGCAAATTTCAAGTTAAACACATATGATGAACATACTATTCGACCGAATATTGAAAACAAGTCTCGTTACACTGGATTTCGCTCGGCGATGTATCGTAGCGTTGTCTTCCTTGGTTTTCGAGATATGAAGTATACATATCTATTTAGTCTTATACTTTAGCATCAGTCGACAATTAGTTAGTTGTTTGTGACGAAGACTCGGAAGAAAACGATCTACTCAA